AGCGATGGATTGCGATGGCGAATCTTTGGTGTCTGTGGGAGCGGCATGTGCGAGCGACGAAGAAGGAGAAAGAGACACGTCGGTCGAGATGTGAGCGTGATGTGACCCGAAATTAGTCACATCAATCCAAACGGGAAAAAGGGGCACCTTTACTATTGGTGATGTCTTATCAATTTATAAAGAAGGGAATCTTTATGTCGAGGTATCTGCTTTATGCAGGTGATGTCATATCAACGAACTATGGAGGCTTCTTGCTTTTATGATGTCATTGTAATTAGGCTAGACGTCATATTGAATCATATCGGGCCGGGCTAAGCATCGGGTCTTTGGCTGAAGTCGTCAAACAAGGGATTGCCGGATTGAACAGTTTCTTCAGATGTAGTTGGTGCATTAGTATCGGGAGCAAAGATATTAAAAAGATTTTGCTCTAATTCTTCTAGGGTAGCATTAGGGTGTGCTTGTTTCATTTTCTTCAGATAGGCTGAGAAAGTGGGTAAACTAACTGTATTATATGCTGGTGGGTTTAGAATATTGGTTTGATGAGGTATGCGTTTCAGGGGTAAAGAGGCAGGGTCAGTACTAAAAATATCCCACCATTTCATTTTAAGGGTTTTGCCAAGTTTGGGAATATACTCATAATTATTAATATTATTTTCAGCAATAGAGTAATCCCATTTTAGGATCCAGGGTATTTGGTAGATGGCCATGAAGTAGAGATAGAAATCATCTAGGTCGGTACAAGTATTATGTTGTACAAATTTTGTCTGCAAGGCTTGAAAGGTATCTGGTAAGATTTGGGTCTGTGATCCCCATAGTAAAAACCAATGGCGGAACCAACTTGAAAATCTTTCAAGAATAGGGAGTTTAAATTGTAAATACCAGGAATGAGTATTATTTGGATTCTGGTAAATGAATACTTTATGCCAAGCTTGTATGTACTCAGAATATTTATAATATTTATATTGAAATTCTGGATTCAATAAAATTTTAGACAAAACGGAATTACAGAGATTCTTAAGATGTCTAAACTATATCAGTGATTTTTACCAAAATCTAGCTCTTGATGCTAAACCTTTATATGACCGCCTAAAAAAGAATCCTCCACCATGGACCGAGGTTCATATCTTGGCTGTACAACGACTTAAACTTAAAGCCAAAGAACTTCCCTGTTTAACTTTATCTGATCCAACAGCTTTTAAAATAATTGAATGTGATGCTTCTGAATTAGGACTTGGTGGAATATTAAAACAATCCATTAACTCTAAAGAACAATTAATAAGATTTACTTCCAAAGCCTGGAATTCAACACAAAAAATTATATATATATATATATATATATGAGCTTGTATGCTATGCTCCCACAAGAGCATAGTGTAGACCTACTTGGGAGGATTTTTCAATCTGAAATTTTGGGAACCAAGGTGATTATTCTCAAAAGAAAAGTTTGAATTTTGAGTTTACTAAACATTTAGATCATACTGGTTAAATAATAGACGGTCTCTATTCAATCTTGAGATATTATCTAATTCAAAAGCATGGAGGAAATCTTTTTTATTAAGGTAATATGTGAGTTTTACATCTCCAAAATTTACGATCCTAAAATTAATCCTAAGTGGGGTTTTACCCTTGGGAGCAAATGGATAATACACTTCCATGGGAACATAACATCTTTTGGCTATAATTAAATCCAGTTAGAGATTTAAACATAAGATGAGGGGATTTCAATCAAAATGCATCAACAAGTACAACTGTAGAAGTGAAGAACGCATATAGCATGCTCCGCACGTGCCCATTGTACATTGCCTGAAAGTATTTAGCGGAATTTTTTATATGAAATTTTTGGTTCCACCTAAGAATAAACTGATGATTATTTGAAAATAGAGCAAGCTTTCTATGCTTTCCCTACCGAATAAAACTACTATATTTCTCCTTATCCAACCGTTCATTCTAAATAGACGGCTGAGATGGGCCCAATCACAATGTCACATTTCTACACTATTTTATTATTAATTTTTCTATAAAAATTGTTTTAACACCAAATTTTGAACATCCACTCCTCTTTTAAACTCGCACTTGTAAAAAATATAAAAAATATTACCTATAAAATATAATGACTAAAATACCTCTGAAAGTTTCAAAGTTATTTTTGTCATTATATTTTATCGAATTGTTTTTTAAAATATTTTTTGTAGGTGCACCCTATTGAGAAGATGATACGTACAAAATTTCATATTCTTACAATTTGTAGAAAAAAATTTAAAATGAAACGCTCTAAAACGTCAGATCTAGATCAAACGGTGCGTGACTCACTTGATCTAAACTGGACGGCTAAATGGGATGAGAAGCATATATATTTTATGTTGTAGGGGATATATAGAAACATTTTTCTTAGTTATTCAATACTTCTCCAAAAATTGAACTGTTCATCTTGGGGAAAAAAAAATTAAGCACGTAGAATTTTACCCGAGGGAGCATCTAGACTCCTTACATGGGAGTAGCAAATCTTTTCACCAAAGGCAAACGGCATGCACCGAGTGTGCAACATCACTAGCATAGCCAATATCTCTTCCTCATTATATACTGTGGAGATTGCGATTGCATATTATGTTACCAGACAATTAGATAGGCACAGCTAATCCCCACATTATGTTACAAGACAATTAAATAGGCACAGCTAATCCCAACGTGTGTTTAATTGGTTAGCCATTGACATTAGCATGCTATATCTTAATTATTACTAATATTTTCGCAATTTATCTTCAAGGACTAATGAGGATTGTCCCAGGGTACCATACTCTCCAGGCATTCCTCTCATAGTTATCCTAGGTACCATACTCTCGTGGTATTCTTCTCAGAGTTACCCTAGGTTTGTGGTATTAATCTAGGAGTTAATGGAAGTGCTAATGGAGAGCGGAAAGAGAGAGAAATGATATGTAGAATGATTTGCTTTCTCATTGGTAATAGACAAGGTTTCCAAAATCGGCAATTTAGATCGGAAACGGCTGATTTAGATTATGAATTGGTCATGCCGATTTAAATCTCGTAAAATATCAAAAACCAACCAATCCACAACCAGTTGGTTCTAGCCAGTTCTCTAACATAACTAGCTTGTTATGTCCGAGAACCGATTTCACTTAATTTTTTAATACCTTTTTAAGTTTTTTAATTCCCTAGTTCTTTTAATATTTTATTCGCCAGTTATCTAGGCCAGATTGCCAATCAAGACGGGTTTTCTAGAGGGGCAATCTAAGTCACCACACTCTATTTTAAAACCTTTTTTTTTGGTGAGTTAAGTGGAGAAAAGACCCCTACCCTCGGTAGGAATTGAGCCTCGGACATAGCGTTGTAAATCGTCAAGCACTAACCAAAACTCACTACAACTATAGCCTTTCTAAGCATTTAAGAACACAAAATTTAAAATTTCTTTATAAAATAATCATCTAGAATTGTTTAGGTGGATCCCAAAATTCAGATCGAATAGAACCCTCCCAAGCATAATTAGCAAATAGGTAAATAATAATATATCAGCAAACCAAAACATCTACAATAAATCAATTATACTTCAAAAAGAAAGAGGAAAAAATCAAACCCAAAATACATATCACCCAAAAATAAGGTAAGTTATAAAACCGTGACTATTTCGAACTTGGCTAAAAAAAATGGACTAAAAAAAATCAGGTATGTAAAAATGACAATATAAGATTTAAGTTTTGTAGTTGTTGTATAGATACATTAAAACCATTAAATAATAATTTGGCTTTACCTAGAGTCATTAGAATAATAGTGGATAATTTTTTGTTGAAATTCTCAATAAATCGAACAACAATGCTTACTCTGTTGTTACAACACAAAACATATAATAAATTTGTAGGACGCATAAAATGAAACGACGATGACAACACAAAAAACAAGAACTACATTAGTAAATAACAATAACTATACACCAAAGTATAAGATTATTGTTCATAAAATAAAAAGAACCTTGAGTATAGGATTGTAGTTAATAATACAAACATCCAAATATGTTATTTTACATACACCAACGGAATAAAAAATAAAAATATAAATATAAAATTAATCAAACTTATAGAAAGCAACAAAATACTTGAGCAAATTCAAATCACAAATTCAAATTCAAATTCAAATCTCACATGCCTAAATTTTTAGTATTATTGAATACTCCTACTTTTTCCATCGGTGGAAGTAAGCATGCAATATGCTCTTGCCAGAGCATGTTATGCCCATCAAAATGGACGCTCCAAGTCTAATTTTGTGGCAAGGTAGATTTATCTTAAAACTCCAATTATTTTCTTTCTGGGACCTATTTTTGAGCTGCACAAAATGATATTAAAAAATTTTAGCTTATCCCCATGGCATCACCCTTCAAAAAAGGCTTCCAAATGAAAAAGCACCACCAAATATGGTGTCCAAGGGATTACATATTCCTGTTTTCCCTCTTGAAAGTGAAGCCCGATTTATTTGATATGTTGTATTAATGGGATTAAAAATCTCATTGTAATTTTGTGGCAAGGTAGATTTATTTGTTATGTGTTCTTTTTATTTTTTACTTTTTGTTTCATAGGATCGGTGATTTGCCAGATCTGGATCGCAGATCCAGCTAATCCACATCTGAAGAGATGAGCAGGCCGTCCATCGAAATAATCCGTGTTTTAAAGTAATATGTCGAAGAAAAGATGATTGGTAATAGTGATATCTACAAGTTGTACACAATTAATTATTATTATTATCATGGGGAGCACCCTCGCAAAATTTTTGAAGTGAGAGAGAGAGACTTTTGCAATCATTTTTAACCTGCCCGCCAATCACTAAAAACATCTATCAAAACTATATCCGTTTGCCCAGCTGCCTCTTTAACATGTAGAAAATAGGAATGTAGATAGGGAATTGATCAAAGCACCACCCATCTCCTGTCAAAATGAATCACAACTCCATCAATGATCAAAACCAAATTCTTGATAACAAACCATCCAATGTCCCTGTTCACTTGAACAACATTAATCAAACGAAATTCGGTTATTTCTCGAAGAAGAGCCTATGTTGTTCGCCCTCATCAAAACGTAGAGAAAGAAAGATCAATTCAACAGAAAACTAATCCAATTCAAAATTGCTATAATATCAGACTTCCCGTCACCACTTACACACAAAGCTGAATAGGCAAGAATTTAAAAGTACAAACATGAACTGCATGAACAGAGAGAGAAGATCTATTCAAAGGAGGAAGCATACCTCGAAACAAATATTACAATGAGAAACCATGATTGAGAGATATCAATCCCGCAGGCCGAGCTCGAGTTCGAGCTCATCGTCTTCCTCAAAAAGCCTCAAAAGGCGAGCATGCTGCTCTTCCCTCTTCTTCTTCTGCCATTTCTTGAATAAGAATACGGAGAAGGCCACAACTGCTGCAACCCCAAAGCATATCACTAGAACCTTAAATCCCAAGCCTTGACTATGGGAACGAGGAGGGGTCTCAGCATTCTTTCCATCTTTAGAAACTTGAGATGGGTCACTAGCTGAGCCTGCAACATGGAAGTAGGGATCTTCTTTCATTCTCAATTTGTGGAGGATTTACAATAAACAAAGTCTTATAACAAGAAACAGAATTGCATAAATAAAAAACAACCTTCAAAGAGTACCGTCAAAAAATAAAAGCACAGTAGGTTAGTGCACCTCTCTCTC